TTCAGATTCAAATATTAGGAATGCGTGGTTGAACTTTATTTTCAATGAAGTTTCAGCTCACGCGAGTAAAACATTGAGCGTTTGTTCGCTTCATTTCACTGCGGATTCCTTTGTAAACAAGACACAGGTCGACGCTGGATTTGCAGAAAGACTGAGATTAAAAAGCAATGCAATGTATAGTACCATCTATACTGGATCCGACAGGAATGGCGCAGCACACTTATGTGAGTAAAATATATTTGTACTGTGTCACTATTGCTTTGTTAGAGATCGCTTGATATGTCCCGATTATGTGCACGTGTCTAAAGTCACAGAAGGCTCCAACTATGAAGGACGTAGCTTGTCAAACAGACACACAGAAAGGTAGCTTACGATGCAAAACTGTTACCCAATCACAGCAGTGGGCGTTTACGTCCAAGTCTTCAATGCGGCACGCCCATAAAAACCAGCGTTTCTCCAGCAGGCCTCAAAACCAGGGTAGAAAATAGCCTATTACTTATTGATTTTGATGTTTTTGAATGTAAAAACCACGCGAGCGTCATAAGTGGACCTCGGACAACAGTATAAAATAATAAAATAGCCAGTTCATGACCCCTTTAATATGGCATTAATAGTGTTCCCACAGAAACGCAGTCTGAGGATGTGAACAGCTCAAAATACAACATCAGGGTTGTCATCTAGTTATTAGGACACGGCATAAATGCAGCATGGTCCCAAACCTGTATGCTTTTCTTTCTTTCTTAGAACATTTTCTTCCTTGGTTCAGTCTTCATAGTTTGAATTTGCGTTGTTTGCGCAGGGCTATCACTCACTGCGTCAGCTGGTCAAACTCTCCAAACTGGAAGTGCCCGAGGAGATCATGCAGGTGATTGAGCCCATCAAGGATAATGACGCCGCCATTCGCAGCTACGGCATCCAGCAGGCGGTGGAGATGTGTAAGGTTCTTCTGGCCAGCGGAGAGGTCCCAGGCCTGCACTTCTACACGCTCAACAGAGAGGTGGCCACCATAGAAGTGCTCCGACAGCTGGGCTTATGGGCCGAGGATCCACGGTGAGTGACTCAGTTCTGTGATAAACTGCTCCTGTTCGTTCTAACAGGAAATCCATTAGGGATGCACCGATACCACTTTTTACAGAACGAGTCCGATACCGATACTTTCATTTTTGGTACTCGCCGATACCGATACCGGTATTTTCACAGCATTTGTAATTTTTTTTAAATATTGGGTACAGAAACAAAATAATAGTAGTAATAATAATAATGTGAATCATGTAAGTTGGCTTCATTTAGCAAACAGATATTACCTTCAGTTATTTCCACACTTAATTATACCTGTTAAAATGTATTATATAAGCTTTTGTTACTTTCACTGTTCATTTTAATGGCACATTAGAGCTCAATACTGTAATCACAAAACGTTTTACTATAATAATGCAGGGAACCACTCGTTATACATTATAGGAGTGCACGGGTACTATTTTGGTGATGTAATTTGTGTCACGCGCAGTGTACACGGACCCTCACGTACGAGTAAAAACCGAAGTATAACCAAAGTAAAAACTTTGGCCTTAAAGCAAGCTAAACATACACAGTGCGCACATGTTTGTATTGGTGCAGAATGAGAGAGACACTTACAGCCTAGCGC